GTATATATATATATATATATATATATATATAACACACACACACACACACACACACACACACACACACACACACACAGTATGGAACAAAGAGGTCACATGTCTGAAAATTGCTTCACAATCTAGTATAGTTACCTTGGTTCCTCAGGGTGTTGGTTTAGGGTGGGGCTGTTTTGATCAGTTAAGATAGCTTCCTTTATTCTGTGTCTATTGACGTTTAGCTCTTTGTTTAAAATTACATTGTTTTGTATAGATATGCTATGGTTTTTTGAGTTGCATTGGTGGTAAACATGGGAGTTTTTTATTATGTTCGGTGAATCAGGTTTCCAATTTTCTTCCAGTTTTTCCAATGTAGAAATATAGACAGTTATTGCATGTTATTTTATAAATTACGTTGGTATTGTGCAATTGTATGTAATTTTTATTTAATAATGATTTTAGTTTAGGGCTTGGTTTTGGGGAGAATTTGAAGTCAACAGGAATTTTATGTTAGATTGCAAGTTTTCTCCAAGTGTTAATTATTTTTGAACTGATGTCAGAGATAAATGGCAAACTGCAGTGTAATGTGGTGTTGTTGCTTGGTGTATTGGTGTCAGTTTTGTTTGTGAGTTTAGTTTGAAGATTTTGTTGTGGTGGTTGTGTGGAAATTTTTCAACAATGGTTAATGGAAATTTGTTTGTGTGAATGAAGGAATGCTTTATAGAGTTGATCTCTTCAACTGTGTAGTCAGTTGAGCAAAGTCTTGAAGCTGTGTCTATAAAGTTTTTAATAAATTGATTTTTTTGTTTGGGTACATGTGTGCAATTCCAGGGGATGTAGAAGTGACTTTTTTTGGTCAACTTTGGTTTTGAACTGTGTGTTGGATCTAATAATGTTGAGGTTAATAAAAGACAACTGTTTGTTATTTTTGTTTTCAATGGTGAATTTAATGTTGGTGTGAATGGCATTTATGTGTTAAAAAAAGTATGTGTTTGGCAGAAGTGAAATCAGCAAAAGTGTTGTCGACATATCTGTACCAGTATAAGGGAGGATAAAGTGTGGATTGTATGGCCTGTGTTTCGATCTGGGTCATAAATTTATACTGGATGTTCTGAAGGTTCCAGAACCAATACTAAAGCCAATGCACATGATTTGTAACTCCTTATAAAGATTTTGTGTATCCAGCATGAAAGTACTAAGGATCACTTAACTTCAAGAATTCTCTTTTCATTTTTAAGGTAAAGGTCCTGGGCTCATCCAGTCCTGTTTAATCCTTGACTTTGCACTTGCTTCACTGGTATCAACATTCTGGTTTAGGCTTTAATAGTTTTAGTTTGTTTTAATTATCTGCTTATTCCCTTCTTAACAGACTCCTCTCAACATATATGATACTATATTTTAAGTATTATGTATTTTTTGACTTCATGTTTCATTTATTGTAAACCCTCCTGTCAGTTCACTGGATTAAGTGATGTCTAATTGCTGAAATGAGAAAGATTGTTATAGCTAGTTATGAGAATCTGAAAGTTTAGCATTTCTTATAACCATTTGTTTGCACTCCCTTATAAGATAATTATTTACTCCACATTCCCTTTAGTAATATCATACCTTAATATATTCTTCTTCTTCAAAGGTACCATGATGCAACCAATTTATATTTAAGTAAAATATAATCAACATTGCTCTTCTTCTACTATAAATTATGTTGAATAGTTGAGTGAAAAATAATTAATGTTGCTCTTCCTTTATTATAAATTATGTTGAATAGTTGACTGAAATATAATTAACATTGCTCTTCTTCTATTATAAATTATGTTGAATAGTTGAGTAAAATATAATTAATGTTACTCTTCTATTATAAATTATGTTGAATAGTTGAGTGAAATATAATTAACATTGCTTTTCCTCTATTATAAATTATGTTGAATAGTTGAGTGAAAAATAATTAATGTTGCTCTTCTTCTATTATAAATTATGTTGAATAGTTGAGTGAAATATAATTAATGTTGCTCTTCTTCTAGTATAAATTATGTTGAATAGTTGAGTGAAAAATAATTAATGTTGCTCTTCTTCTATTATAAATTATGTTGAATAGTTGAGTGAAAAATAATTAACGTTGCTCTTCTTTTATTATAGATTATGTTAAATAGTTGATAAAACAATCTTCAAAAGCTTCATTCTGCTACTTACTTCATTATCTTGATATTTTCACCTGGGATCAGTAAGTGCTACTTACATCTTCAGGTTTATTTTTGTGTGTGTCAAATGTAACCTGATCAGTATTATTTATGCCTTACTTAATTCAATTTTTTTATACTTTTTTAAATTGTAAGTTAAGTAAACTATAACTTATTGCTGGTGTTTTTTCTGTATAGGAAAATTGGTTATCTGTTTCTGGTCAGCGGAGATTTGAGTCTCTCTGTGCAGCTCCATTTTTTATGCTGATGTGCATTTCTTGTATATTTTTCTTGTCAAACTGGAACCTTGGCTGGAAATTTATTAATAAGATTGCTTTAGGTGAGTCATTATTTAACTTGTACAAGTTTTCTTAGGGTAAATAAAGTATGTGAATTATAATCAGAACATTTGTGTTTTAGAAAACATTTTTCTATGTTATAGTCAGTATTGATACATTAATACATTAATATTATGTTTAAACTTAATGAAATAGTTTTAGTTTTAATTAAATATCACAATTTTGGACAGTATTTTTTTTTTTCAACTATTCTGCTACTATGAACTAAAGAAATGTGTATATTTTAGGTTTTCCTGTACCCTTGTTACCTGTATTGTTCATCATGTATTGTGGAGGCCACGTGTCTTTGGATGTACAAGAATGGGAAAGAAGAAAAGAAAAAACAACAACATGATATTGCTTAATTAGTTTGTATAAAATTTGTATATTTATACAACTTTGGGCTTTACATTTCTCTATACACACTGCATGACTCTTAGTTATTCCTGTACTAAGAGAGGTTTCTGTTTGACAAATAAGCACTTCTCTGGCAAGTAGAAATTTATTAAGAACTTGTTCATCTATTAATAGGTGATATTTTATGTCAGATGTTTTCATATCAAAAACAATTATCTGAAGTAGTTTTTCATGGTGGCCATATATTCCAGGCAGACCAAGTACGAATGTATGTGCAGCCCAGTAATTTAATACTGGATGACTGATGATAACTTTTATTTTACTTATATATAAATAAAATAAGCATTAAGAAATTCTTTGCACTTTAAATTCCAGTCATCACCTCAAAGTCATAAGGGATATTGTCTGTGGTAATAGCTCCCAACTGTGTTGGGATATCCCATCTACCAGAGAAAATCCAAATGCCGATGTTAAACTATCCAGCAATCATGGAAAATCAATTAAGGGTAAGGAGTTGAGTGCTTACATCCACAACGTCTCAACTCCTACTGCCTTTCACTGTCTGCAGCTAGTTGTGGGAAAGCAGTAACCCTTAAAAGTTCTTCTAATTCCTAAAGTAGAAATGAAATTAAACCACCCTAATACTGCCTTCCCCAACTGGCTGCAGACAGTGTAATAGGCTTCTCTATCGTGGGAATGAGAGAGCGTCGTTTGGGGTAACAAGACACCAATTACAATAGATTTTTTTAAAAACCCAGGATATGTAGCTGTGAGAGGGTACACAGGTCAACCAACTTGAGGAAATTTACAAGTAAAGCAAGGAATAAATGACACTGAGTCCCATTCTACACAAGAGGATATATATACTTTATTAACATTGATGAACATGAAGACTTGAAGGCTTATACTGCATTAACCTTTATTAACATGAAGGATTATATTTTTGTCAACATTGATTAACATAAAGGTTTATACTTTCAGTAACATTTATTAGTTCTATAATGTTCCTAACCTTAAAACCTCATCTACATTACTTAGTTAACTTTAACAACTTTTGCATTATACATCATGGTTCCTCCTGGCAATATTATCAGTTAAGGGAAAATAGCAATAAAACTTAAATAAAGTTAGTGTAGTGGAAGTCTTGCATGTGTATGTAAACTGCCATTCTGTGTTCTTGTATATCTTGGGAACTTAGTTGAAGAACTGGAGCAACTGGAAAACCTGGAATCCTCTGGAGCAACCTTGAGTCTGGGACACCTTGATATCAGGGACAACCTTGCTTTTGGTCCAGAGACATAGTTTTAAATGATTTTCAGCATAATCCATCCAAACTCATGGGGATAGACTTCAAGTTGATTGATCCATCAATTACAGTGGACTCGTCTTTCTTTAGTGATTGGTGCCCAGTGACCCAGGACTGGACGTCAAATGACATAAAAGGTTACGGGAAAGGTTATTTATGTATACAATTTCTCATCCTGTCTAGTCTGTCTTGAATAAACAGTTTTCCAACCATCTAGTTAGAATCACCTTACGTGAGAATCCTCACTTCTCACTGATATGTAGATGATGTTTAATACAATACGAGTTGCTCTTGACAAGTATGTTCAATGTTCACCTTTTGTTAGCATTTCACAACTAATTTTTCATAACACATCCACAAGTCTATAGCTTAGCTCATAAGAAAACTTAGTCGAAGCATGTGTTTGTTTTAAAGGGGCAGTTAAGCTCGAGTGAAAGCTTAGGTGAAGCATTTGTTTATTTTCAAGTGCTTCAACAGTGAAAGGCAGTAGGAGTTGAGACGTTGTGGATGTAAGCACTCAACTCCATACCCTTAATTGATTTTCCATGATTACTGGCTAGTTTAACATCAGCATTTGGATTTTCTCTGGTAGATGGAATATCCCCAACACATTTGGGAGCTATTACCACAGACATTATCCGTTATGACTTTAAGGTGACGACTGAAATTTAAAATGGATTTGCAAAGACCTTCTTAATGCTTATATTAAGTTCATTATTGTTTTATAGTACTGATTTTAATCGCATATTAACAATTAATGTAATTAATAGTTTTGAGGCTATTTATTTCATTATATATATATTTATATACATAGTTTGAAATTGCAGACTGTAGTGCTTTCTGATATTAATTTTGTCATCTGATAATTTTTCACATTACAACTGGAAATGTAGATTATTGAAGAGAAATGGGCTTTTAGTAAGCCAGATAAACATTTTTTTATGTATAGAGTGAACTAAAAACTTTTATAATATTGGTTTCTGTTGTCAAAAAGTGCCTTACTGTCAGTTGTTATTGATTCATGTATCTGTTTAGCTCACTTGGTAGAGCACTTGTTTAGATGATGATAGAATTCAAAAAGCTAAACAAAATGAAGACATATTTTCATTATGTATTCATCACCTTTATAGCTGGACTTTTCAATTTGTGCCCACTGTTAATCTTAGCCAAGTAAAATTGTACAAGTATAAACATTTTTAAATAAATAAAGATTAGGAAGTAGGAATTGGAGCACCAAAAAGTAAGGAAACAAGGTAGGAATGGGCTTGATAACATTACAACACTTGGTGGTTTTGGACACAGTGCAACCTCAAAGTAGGTGTGCCCATCCTTCTGCCATTTCTATTTCGTGTGCTTTTTGTAACTTGGTAATTTCTCAAACTAAATGAATGGTGTATATAGCTAAATTCCTCTGTTGTAAACTTTGTTTCAGCATCCAAGTACAAACATATGTATACAATCAAATTACCTGACCCTAACAAAATGCATAATGTCGGTGTTTGATGTTGGAAGTTAGGCAGGAAGTTCCAGTGGTCATACTTTGCTTATGGGAGAAATTATAGCTATCTGACTGATAAGGGGTGGGACAAACGAATATTATCAAAACTGATAATTTTTGAAATTTTTTAATTTGTTCAGTATTTTGAAAGAATCAGATACTGATAAAACTCAAGTTTGTCCAACACAAAACCCTTGAGTCAGATTTATATAACTTAAAACTTCACTTTCAATAGTTAGATGATAGTTATAATCTGGAGGTAGAGAATCTATATAGTCCACATTTTTTTTACCTGGCTAAGACAGCTGCAGACTGATCACATAGCATGTGTGCATATGCAATCATGCACCTGCATATGATATGAAGGCAGGTTGCTACATGGCAACTCACAGTGTGTGCTTGTAATCACAGAATATGGATACTAGTATATTGTTATCTCGTTAGTAATTTTGCAAACTGGTTATTGTTATTAATTGCTATATACCAAGGTTATAAGTAAAACTAAGAAAAATGCTTTTAGGCAAAGTAGCGTAATTCAATCATGTGCATCAAATTTGCATAAGATGAAGGTATGAGAGAGCTATACCTTTCCAACAACGTTAATCAATCAGTCAGCCAGATAGACAAATTTGTGGTTTTGTGAAATTTTTGTTTTTACTCTACAACTTTCTCAAGTGCTTTGGTGGCTTGTTACTCTGCAGTTGGTTTGTTTACTACTCGAGAGTGTGTGTAAAGCTCTTATAAAGTTTTGTTTACATACTGTTTGCAGTATGTTTGAGATTTTAATTGGTATTGCACATGTGGCTCATTCCTACTATAAGTAATATGGTACCTATGATGGCAGTAGTCAAATATAATAATTCTTAATGAAATTTCGAAGATATTGTAAATGTTAGGTATCAGATTTAGCTTATTGGTATTAGCAGGATAAAATTATACGTTCTCATGTTTTGTACTTTCTAATAATGAAGTCATAATGATTTTATTCTAGTAACATTCACAGTTGATTCTTATTGAGAAAATAAATTTATTTATTCTCTACCATTAAGATGTTTACTTTTAGGAATTAGTGTTTGTAAGAACATTATTAGTGCATTATGGGAATGGGTATTTTTAAGTGAGTCAACAACATTTAAGTCGTTTCTATTTATTAGCTAATCTGTTGATATTGACTGGGTAAGAAAATATTTTCTAAATGTATTTAGATGTTAGCCCACTAATGGTCACACTGAGTTTTTTTATATAAATGAAATTATATTTCATACAATTAGTTTAATGATTCCTGAGTCTTAGTTGATGTATCAACCTGTCTTTTCAACTTTGTAAACAGATTTTAATAAACATAATCAAATGCCAAAAGTTTAGAAAATATAGTTGTTGAAACATATAAGTCAAAATATTATAATAAAGAAATGTATGAGAAATTGGATTCTAAACAGATTTCACAATTTTTATAGATAATTAAATTGAGGTCGTGTATTACAATTACATGCTATTTATATTTTGAATGTACTTATACATCACCTTAAATGTGATAGATACTAATGTTTTTATAATGATAATACATTATTGCAAACATTGGATTTTTGAGCTAATTTTCTCTGCTTCACTTTAATGTAAGGTTGTGTATTAAAATATTTCTCAATCTATATTAAAGGCTTCTCATGACATGCTGTTTGTATTTAATATTTATTCATAAGCCAAATAATCTTGATCGCTTTCTACACGGTATGGAAACCTCGTTATTGTTATAATGTAAAATGTTGATGAATTTTCGTATAAGATCCAACTAATTTTTTATTTATAATTTATGACGTATTAGTGGCATTAAAATGACTTTATTAGTGACTAGGTGTCTGTTTAAAGAATTGTCATGTAATGAAATAAGGATGTGTGTTTTATTATATACGAATCACTATATTTTTTTTTTCTGTAAACTGAAACATACACTAAGTTGTTGGAAAATGGAAACTGTCAGATTTGAAGAAGGCAGACCAATGTTCTGTCGAAATGTGTCTGTTTCCCAAAATAAAACTATTATGTTTATAAATCGTTTTGTAAATTTACATTTATATTATCATAATATTCTTTCATACATATGGGACAGAAACACTTGAAAACGTTATGTGACATTAAAACAAGTATGATAGACGTCAATGGACACGCATTTTACGTCAAATATACTTTTGCACCCCGTTTCATTGACTATTTTCTCAGTTGAGATAGTCTATACCAGCACTTATCAACTTTTTAGTAACGTGACCCACCTAAACTTCAAGAAATTTCCACTACAGAAAATTATGTAAGTATGTCACGAATAACAGTGTATGCTTGTTTCATGCGCGCGACATTAATATATAATTAGCATTTTGCGAGGTATCATGTAGTTTGTATTATAGTTTTGCTAGTTTGCAACATTTTGTAAAATATTGACATCTAATCTTAAGCCTTTTCGGGGTTCACCAGTTGAGAAACACTGGTCTATGCTACTCGTATGTTGCCATTTTCTTGGTGTAAAGTTCGATGAAGATGACGTCTGTAGCAAAGTATAAACCTAGAATAACCTAGCTGTGTGTCGTAGCCATTGAACGGAATAGTTCTAAACTTCCTCCATTGCCACAGCATTTAAAAGAGGAACGTGGACGAGGAATGCTTGAGGCGCCATCTATTGAAAAATGTAAAATGTAAGCTATAATTTTGCATTAGCACAAACTGTGCAGTATAAACTGTGAGGATATTCAATTAAAGACGAAAAGTTATTCATTGTGAAAGTTTGAAAAATCATTACAGTAAACTTTCATTTAAATGAATGTTCTTAATACTTAATAGGTGATGCTACTCTAGTTACTGAATATATTTCGGAAGTACTTTTATAATGATATTTATAGAGAACGTACGCAAAAACTTGGCCTTCAACACATGTTCAATGCGATTACATCTGGCAGCTACCATGACTGAGAACAACAATTATGCCAAAGTTAGGTAAAATAACATTGAGAATTCTACTTAGAAATTATTTTAGGCAGCTAATAAACATTGACTCCGTGTTCTACAAAATAGAACACTCCAGAACATGCTCTTAAGTGGAAGAACAAAATTTGATATTAAAACCACAACAAAATATTGATAATGTTCTACAGGCTAACTTTTTGAAAGACTGTTTTCGAACTTTCATATTACTAAACTAGAAATTTAACTTATGACATAGGAAAAATGGTGGAATGTTCATCACGCTCTAGATGCATGAGTATTAAGGCTTAGCAAACTTTGTAGTATGCAATCATAATTACAGTTCTAGCATAAACGTTTCAAATGCGCACAAGAATGTTAATTTTTAGTCGGTGTACTGTGTTGGAACGTAAGCATTTCATATGAACGTAAGAATTAGTTCTTAAGTCATTAACATAGGCACTTAAGAAGTATAAAGGAACCACAGGTACTAACCTGTAGAAAGCTCTAAATTTGTACCGAAATCAATAGCAATAACCAAATACTTGGGTCTCAATCACGCTGTTACTATGGTGGCAGAGTAGCTACGTTGATGTCATATTTCAGAAGAAAGGATTTAAAAATATAGAAGTAATAACGTGGTATTCAACCGAAATACTACCAAAGATTTGTCGTTGAAAGTTTACTTAATAAAAAAACGCAAGTTTTTAAGGTATACGTCGGATGACTTCACCATTTACTATTTTAATAATGGGAATGCCTTTTGGTTTGTATCGAGCTTCCTAAAATGGAATACATTTATAAAAAGTAAATTTTTGGATTAGTTGTGATGTTATGTAACAAATATAAAAAATAAAAAATTAGTCAAGATTTCCAGGTTTTAAAAACAGCTTCAGGCCCAACGCTATCCGAACCTGAAGAAAATAACTCGTATAACCAATTAAAACTCAAATACATTTACTTTTAGGTTTGACCATTTATGAGCCCTCTAGTGGCACAGCGGTATGTCTGCAGACTTAAAACGCTAGAAACCGGGTTTCGATACCCGTGGTGAGCAGAGTACAGATAGTCCATTGTGTAGCTTTGTGCTTAACTTCAAACAAACAAACCATTTATGAAAAATAAAATTGGTTTCAGCTTACCCTGAGTCCGAGTGTACAGTCGCATTTCTTTTTATTCCAGCAAACTTTTTTTATTAAGTTGTTTTTATGGGACAGTACAGCGACGTTTAATTTTGCATAGAGCTTTCATTTGGTTTAATTTTTTCTAATGTTTGTTGTAGAACAGGAATTCACAATTTGAACATAACTCCAAGCGTAATAAATGTGTTTTAACAATCAATACATCATATTTTATATCAGTTTTCGAGTTATCGAAAGAATACTGTCCTTTTTTTTATTTAAAATTTAGGAATTTCTTAGGTCAGTAACCTTGGATGATTTTTTTTTTACAGGGAACAAGAATATGAATTAGTTTAGAAGCAAACAAAATGTTTCATTTAGAAAGTTAAACACACTTTACCAAGGAAACTTTCTGGGGCTAGAAATGAGCTCGAACCCAAAATTTTCAGGTCTATACCAATCCAAATCCTAGATAAAAAAAGCCTCTATAGGTCCGATTACGTTCGAACATGTAAACTCATCTACATCCAGTTTAATGGCCAGGTAGTTAGGGCGCTTGACTCAAAGTCTGAGAGTTGCGGGTTCGAATCTTGCTCGCCATTTTAGCCGTGGGGGCGTTATAATATTACTGTCCATCCCACTATTCTATAGTAAGAGAGCAGCCCAAGAGATGGCGGTGGGTAGTGACGACAAGCTCCCTTTCCTCTAATCTTTCACTGCTAAATTAGGGACGGCTAGCGCAGACGGCCCTCGTCTGCTTTTGCGCGAAATACAAACCAATATATATATATAATTAAAAGGAGAGAAAAATAACATTTTAAAACGCGTACGGCAAGGAGATTCTTTAATCGTACTTACGGATGTCACAGGTTACACGTAGTTCAATTTTACTGATAACATATGTATGAGGTTTTGTATTTCGACTTAGATACATATTGTAAATCAATAAAAGGATAAAATTCTTGGATTAAAAAACAACCAATTTTGGTATAATTTTCAAATAAGCTAGTTGATGTTGCATTTGTTTCAAGGTATTAATAATTAATTTTCTGGTCTAAAGTAGGTTAACTACCCATATATATATATATATGTGTGTAGATCAGAACTTAAATTATTTAAAAAGTAACTTATAATAAAGACAGCCTTATATAAGAAACTGAAAACAAATATTACCATACGTATGTAGACCAAAATAAAAGATTAGAGTGAATTCATACACCAGTTAGATATTCTCGCTATTAACGATACTTTTTAATATATATATATATATATATTAATTTTCTTGACTGAAAATTACGATAAAGATATCTTAAACACACATTGATCTAATTGCCCCAAAGATAGCAGAAATGATTTAAAACCTTCCTAAACAGTCATGTATAACAGTTAAAAATTAAAATGTCTTCATGCCCAATAATAAGATGTATATGATTTGATGTTTCATTGGACATAACAAATTAGTTAGAAAAATAAAACAAATTAGTTAGAAAAATAAAACAAAAATTAAACTCCTTTTGATAAGTAACTTTCGATTGATACTGGGCTTATTAAACACGAACCGATTTCTACCACAAATATTTTGTACATCGACATTGTTTATCTTATTTATAAGCTAGCATATTTTCACTGACATTCTCAAAGAAAAAAACGTCCTGTGTACTTGCTGAGAGAAATGTTTTGAACAAAAACACAGGCCTGCGATGGTTTTATTGTCTTGAAATTTTTGCGTTATACAGTTATTCCTGCACACTGAATCCCAAAATGATATAAATTTTTTGCATCACGTACAGATTTTTCACAAAACATCATAACGCAATATATAAAAGAAAGACCACAACACGTAGGTTTGAGACCAAAAGACGCAGAATTCACAAAAACAAAATTAGGATGAATGATGATGCATATTCGTTTAACA